AAACCTAGTAGTAGTCACATAGTCACTATGAACGGAGATCCAATTTCCTGGTCAAACCAAGTGAAATATCTTGGATTAGTACTTGACCAAAAATTAACTTTTAAAGATCACATTGAGGGCATTCAAGCCAAATGTAACAAATATATAAAATGTTTGTATCCTCTTATTAACAGGAAATCCAAACTTTGCCTGACGAATAAACTTCTAATATTTAAACAAGTTTTTAGACCGGCCATGCTTTACGCTGTGCCAATATGGTCTAGTTGTTGCACGACCAGGAAAAAAGCACTTCAAAGGATTCAGAACAAAATTCTGAAGATGATTTTGAAGTTGCCTCCCTGGTACAGTACTACCGAAGTACATAGAATTTCGAATGTTGAGACTTTAGCACAAATGTCCAACAAAATAATTAATAATTTCCGGCAAAAATCGTTACAATCCTCAATTGCAACGATTAATTCCCTTTATACTTAGATAAGATTTAGTTTTAGTTATTTAGTTTTAAGCTATCAATTGTTATACTGACATGCAGGTTTAAAAAACCTGTTTAAAATACTGAATTGCCAAGACAGGAACAATGTAAAAACACTTAGATATATATCATAACAATTAAGGCTGGTAAGTTACTGTAGTAACTGGAGCACCTAGGTTAAAAATGAAATGTAATTTATTTTAAATTTGGAACAAATAAAAAGTTAAAAAAAAAAAAAAAAAAAAAAGGCTGCCCACAACTGCTGATCGGATTCAGTTTCAATCACCATGTGTGGTGGTGTCCGGTCGCCGGCCAGCAGCAGCAGCATCAGTGCTTTCGGCGTGTGGCGTTGAACATTGTTCTCCAGAAATCGAAAGGCTGCCTGCAAGCAGCAAGCTGCAACCCACGTGAGCATCCATAGAAGGAGAAGAAGCCGCACCGCTATTTATCGGAATCAGTAGCTCTTCATGAGTCGCTGTGGTCCATTTATGTCAAGCGTGTCATACTAAAGAGTATAAACAGAGAGAACCCCGTTCAAATTCATATTCCTACACAAAACACCAGCTCCTGCTGCAGTTAACAAATTAAATTTATTATATAAGACCACGTAGTCCTACGTCATCATTGCGTACAACCCGGTAGGGCTGTCCCTTGTTGTTTTTTGTCTTCAAATTGGCTAAAATGCATTTAGGTATAAAGTTTTTTAAATGAAATAGGGCTAAAATTTTCCGAGGAATCCAATTAATATATAAACCGGTTTAAATAGTTTAGTATAAGCAATTAAGTGAAAATGAGAGGTACGTTAAAAATGAATTATAGATTCGTAAAATACGCATTTGGTACATCACAGTTCCGTGGAAATCTGGCCGATCCACGCGGTCATTTCCAAAATCGTTTGTCTATCCAGCGGGACACGGGTTTTCTGGGAAGCTTTGAGGTACGTTCAAAATTCTTGAAGGTACGCTATTGGTATATTCCAAAACACGTATCAACTTTGAAATTCATTAAGTTTGTCCCGCTGGATAGATTGAAGTCGGTTTTTGTTCTGCATTCGAGTGCCAATCACCGAAAAGCATTGGTTGCCAATTGGTGATCAATCACCGACGGCAATCGAGTGCTAGGGATGTGACTTCCACACCTGGAACCTTTCGAATCCATCAACGGGACCAACGGCTTTACTCCCCAGCCGAAGGAAGACGCGACCAGGGATGTTTTCGCCTTAGAAAAATCCCAGAGATGTCGGCTAACATTGAACCCATACACACTTGTGCTAGAATGCAGTTACGGTTAACACTCAACCACTGTCAGCGCCCTTAAATGTGGAACTAAAATATAGTAATGACCCGATTTTGTCAACCCTCTTTTTGAAAATCTTTTCTAATGTGCTACGAAATTCAGTGATCTTATTGCACCAACATACACCTTAAACATCCATCTTGCAGATGAATAAAGGGCCTGTTCATAAACTACGTAGACAGTTTTTTTGGGATTCTTGACCCCCCCTCCCCCTGCGTAGACAATTGTCCATACAAATTTTTTTAAATTTGTATGGGCCGTGGATAATTGTCACCCCCCCTAAACTATCTACGTAGTTTATGGACAGCCCCAAACATGATTGAAACATAAAAGTCTGATGCGTGCAGGGGTAGACAAAATCGGGTCATTACTATGTATAATAAAAATTTCGTAACAAATGTTTGATAAATATTCCGCCTATAAATGTGCTATGAAATTCTTTCTTCAAATACAAGCAGTTTGATTTCAATTAGGCCGTCTTATGAATGCTTACGTGCTTTTGTGAAGACAGGTACGTGCATTTAAGGAATGCAGACTTTGCAATGATCCTCCGCATGAAAATATTTTGTAATATGGTCGTTGGAAGGTTTATTGTATAATTTTGTAATTTTGTTCTTAGCTAAGTTTTCGTCTAAAGGTTGTTTCCCCAAATGCACTGCGGCTAGAAAATCATCTGGTGGAGGTTTTATACGAAAATATTAGTTCTGAAAAAACTTGCTTGTATGCTACATTCCATTCCACACTTAAATTTGATGTTCATGTCATTTGTTCTGCGTGTATCAGAGGACTTAAGGCCACTTTAATTAATTTCAGGGAAATTACTTAAAAGAAATCCTGAAAAAAACATTCAGAGAAGTTCCGATAACTACAGAAAACCCCAGAACTCCACAGTTGAAGATTTTTAAGGGTAACTTCCGAGAATTTTAGGGCAGTTCTATTAACTTCAGGAAAATTCCAGAAACTTTTTAAGAACTTCAATAAACTTCAGGTACGTTCAAGGATCTTTTGGAAACGCCAAATAGCTTCGGAAAAGATCTGGCAACTTCAGGACACCGAAAATATCCGTAAAATTATGGGAACTTTAGGGAAGTTCCGAAAACTAAGGAACTTGAGAGTTTAAGAAGTTTTCTGGAAGTTATTCTTGGAACATCTGTAAATTTTTCGATAGGCCTAATTTAGTTCTGAAAAAAATGCAGAAACCTTACAGATGTTTCAAGATTAAATTCCAGAAAACATCAAAGGAGTTGTGGGTTCCATGAACGTCAGGAAACTTGCGGGAATTTTAATTACCGAAAATTTGGCGTAAATTTTGAAAACTTTATGATAGTTCCATTACCTTCAATAAGTTTTGAGAATTTCATGGAAATTTCAACAACTTAAAGGCAATTCCGAAAACTTAAGGATAGTTCTGAGAACTTCAGGAACCTCCAGAACTACGGGAAATTTTAAGATCATTTTGTAGGTAAAATTTCTAAAAATTCAGTGTAGATCAAAGAGTTTCAGGGTAGTTCCAGTAACTTCCAGTTCCAGGATTATTAGAAAGTTTGTGGGGAATTCAAGGAAATTTCGAGAACTTCTGGTAAATTTTGAGAACTTTAGGACAATTTCATTGAAAAACGAAACAAAGCAAAAACCTGGTAGGAGTTCCAAAAATTAAAGATAGTCTAGAGAATGTCACGGAAGTGTTAAGAACTTAAGAAATGTTTTGGAAACTTCACAGAAGTTAAGAGAAATTCACGGAAGTGCAGAAACCATCGAGAAGTTTAGAGATCTTTAGGGGGTTCTCAAAAATATTTGGGAAAATATTCGGAAAAAGGAATGAAAATACCGAGGATTTCGGGGAAGTTTCAATAGCGTTGAGGACATCAGGGTAACTCAGAGAACCGCAAGGAAGTTCAATTAACTTTAAGGAAATAGCAGGATCTTTACAGTAGTTCCAAGTTTTTGAAAACTTTCAGGGAAGTCTAGAGGAATTCAATCAATTTTACAGGCTTTTAGACTATTGTCAGGTATGTTTTTAGTATTTCGAGGAAGATCTGAGAACTTTAGAGCAGTTCCAATAATTAATTGCTGTAACTTCAGAGAAGTGCCGAAGAATTATTAAATATTCCGAGAATATCAGGAATATTCCCATTTTTTGTTTGAAAATTGCGGGAAGTTCCATGAGCATTATTTTTTTTTCTAAAGTAAGAGAATTTTCTATTAAATTTAACGGAACACATTTAGGGGAAGGACTGAACACTTCGGGCAAGTTTAGGGAGTTTTAGAGATATTAAGGGAAGTTTGATGAGCTTCAAGAAAGTATCAAAATCTTTAGGAAAACCGCGGGAGCTTCAGAATAGACCAAAGAATTTCAAGTTAGTTCAATTAACTTGGGAAAAATTACAGGAACTTTTAAAAATTATGAGAAATGCAGATACAACGGGGCTTATTACGGATGTCACTTCACGGTGAAAGCTTGTCACTTGTCGTCACGGTGAAGTGATTTCCATTTGATTTGTACGGCAATCATGGCTCTTATTCTGAGTATCACTTCCTTATCACCGTGTAGTGTCACCCGTAATAAGGCCCAACTTTATTGAAGAAGAAGAATAGATCTTTAGAACAGTACCAAAATCATGAGAAAGTGTAGACTTTCGGGAAAGAATTAGTAATTTTGTTTCAACTTTTCAGTCTTCTAGAAAAAGTGCTGAATACAGTTTTATCATCGTCATCTGTTCGATTCTGGAGATGACAGTCTTCATCGGGTTAATTTTAGATTAAGATTTTTGCTGAGATGGGCACCACAGAGCAGCTCAACATTTTATTTTGGTGGTTCTCAGTGAAAAACTTGCTGAGATTCATCAAAACTTATGTTTGTTAGCTGAGATCTCGGCAAAATTCCCGTTTGTTTGCTGAATCTTGGCAAGTTTTTCACTGATATCTGGCAAACTAAAAGGCCGAGCTGCTCAGTGGTGCCCATCTCGGCAAAAAAAAAAAATCTAAATATGTACACTGAACGAAAGATAACATAACTGTATGTCCCCTAAAGAATAAGCCTAATACAAAAATCTTAACGTTGAATGCAGTTCTATGAAAGTTACATTAGTAAATTTTCCTAACACAGACATCAAAAGTTATGTCGTGAGTCAAGATCATTCCAATCGCAGCTGGTAATTAATAACGATTCAGGAGATCAACAAATAGATATCATGTATACGAGAACGGTTCGAAACAATCAATATATACTCACCAAAAACATCTGGTACGTTAGCGGTGGAATTCCGCCATTGGTTCGAATGACCTGCTCCGGGTCCCACAGCGTATGCGATACCTTCTCGACGCACTTCACATCCATCGTTTTACAGAGATTCACAATTCCATCGTCCCGTTCCTTCCAGATGGGTTCACAGTCCTGCTCGTAGCACAGTTTTCGAATATTCAGTTCCTCAAACAATCTCCGCATCACGTTAGTCGCATTGCCCCTAAATATATACAACTGGCCGCCAATTTCACGCAACTGACGGTCAAGATCAGCTAACGATTCGAGCAAAAACTTCATCCGATTGTAGCCGACCACTTTCGTTCCTGTCAAAAAAGGTACAAATGATATTACTTCTTATTATCAGTCACAGTTTGCTTTCCTTGGTACGATTATAATTAACGATTATAATTAACAACACACAGTAACTTCGCAAGACAGCTTTGATAATTGGTTGTGTCTAAATAGATCATAAAATACCACTCACCAGCACTTTCTCCGTCGAAGATGAAAATTGGATACAACCGAACCGATTCCGATGTGCTGCCATCGTTGCGTAGCGCCTCAAGTAGGCTTGGGTTGTCATGTAACCTGAGACCATGGCGAAACCAGAGAATGTTGTTCACCGTCATCCTGGTGCTGATTATGGCAATGACTGAAAGCTGCCTCTATGCTGCACTCAGTTGCTTTTACCTGTTGCGTAGGTCTGTTTGAAGCTCACTGTGTCATATTCTCTGCCAACAAGAACCAGAATCATGGAATGTAAAAAAATTAAATCGAAATCGACTTAAATTTTGGATGTGAAACTCGCTTTGAAATGTTTATAATCAGGCGATTCTGCTGCTGCCTTCGCGAAATTATGTAGCGATGTTTTCGCAGTGAGTACTCTATCGAGACTGTGAGTCTGACAGTTCGCTCAAATGCAGAAACATATACTCTCTGTCGGAAAGTGGTGCACTATAAAGAAGTAGGTACCTATATAAATATATCATCAACACGTGAAAACGAGGCACGAGTAGCAAAAGCAGCTTATACGCATACAATACTGCTACTGGCTCGGGAGGTAGGGAGGCGTGATCTGTTTCGATTTGAATTTGCCCCAGTAGGTATAACAGCAATAACATTCCGCCTGTCTTCAGTTACCCTTTTGCGGTTAGATAGACCGTATCGATTTTAAATAATAGACTGTATTCGAATTCTCATTGATTTTATTCCTAGATCCAAACACAAGCACGAGATGAGATTCATTAAGCTGAAAACTCTTACACACTTAGTTTTTTCTACCGAGCTCGGCTGTGCAAATCTCGGCAAAAAAAATTTCACTGAGATCTCAGCAAAAGTGACATTTGATTGCTGAGTCTCGGATAATGCTTAGCTGAATCTCAGCAAACAAATGAAATGTTTGCTGAGATCTCAGTAAAACTTTTGTTGCCGAGATTTGCACAGCCGAGCTCGGTAGAAAAAACTAAGTGTGTAGATAACTGAAAGTACGTCTAGATGGCTATGGGTTTGGTTGACTAATGATTATTTATTGCAGAACATAATTCAAGGCTTACTGTGTGCCAATATCCCCTCTTAAACTTGTTGCAGTTGTATTGATTTCAGCTCCACTTGTTCTCTTACACGGCGAATGAGAACGACCCAAATTTGAATTTAGTTCACTCATAATCGCCAAAAGTGCAGGAACTCAGCGATGAGTAAATTTGTCTCATGGTTTCCTGTGGAAAACCTAAAAAATCTGCCGAAAAAAGAGGAAATTGACGAAAATTTTATTCAGTCTCGGAGTAGTACCAATAGACTGAGTGAATCCAATCTTTACTTTACTCAAATTGGAAAATCCTGGAAAAACCTGGGGAAACATGAGACAAATTTTACTCATCGCTGAGTTCCTACACTTTTGGCTCAGCTCTGGTACTCTCTTCGGTCCTAAGCTAATCGATGCACCCCACGAAACATACGAAAATCCATGAACCCCTCATTTTATCTGTCAAACTTTCATAGTGAATCAAAACAAACATTGTGTAGTACTACAATTTTGACTAGAATGGGGTACGACAAGCACATCAAGAAACGGTTCGGTGAATAAGTTATTAACGAAAGAGAAAGTCGACGAAGGGAATCGATCAGTGTTACTTAGGACCTAATGAAAAGTTCAGCTTGAATTGCTCTTGTTAAAAGAAAATAGTTCTCGTAATAAAATCATGCATTATGCTTTTCTATTCTGCATTCATCCTATGCACACTGGGCCAGGAATGCAACCTAGTGGAGCAATATTAATAAATCCGAAACGAAGCATTTCTGCGACTTTGTCTTCGGCAAAATTTCCCATCATAATAAGGATTTGACATTAAAAAATAGTTCAAAACTCTTCCGCAAAGATGGTGCCACAATCTAACTTCTTTCTCTGACGTTTTGGAAACTTGATGTCTTCGGCAAAGTTGTTTATTTTGACAAAATAAACAGCTCTTTCAAATACGTAAAATTTCCACAGTCTACTGGTTCCAAGTTATATGGAGTTAAAGAAAAAATGTCGAAAATATGGTTTTCTCTTTCTGTTTCGTTAATTTTTGCTTACAACCATATAATGTTATATTTTTCTCTTATGCAAATGCATTAAATAAATAACTTTTGTTAAGAAACATCGCACCATCTTTGCGGAAGAGTTTTGAACTATTTGTTTATGTTAATAGATGGTCCTTATTATGATGAGAAATTTTGCCAAAGACACCAAGCCGCGGAAATGCTTCGTTTCGGAGTTATTAATTTTGCTCCGCTAGGATGCATTCCTGACCCACTGTGCAATGTAAGCATTAGACATTTTAAGAAATTGCACTTGGTGTTTTTCTTGCCTGCTGTCCTATGTCGCCATTTTGTCATTATGAAAATGCCATTAGCCTTGGAATAAAATCCAAGAAATTTCAATAAAATAATGGCTAAATAAAAGATCCGAAATGATTTTCAGTGTGCATTGGTATGCATTTATGTATTGAGATCTATTTTCTGTAAAATTAAGGCGATTCCATCAAGTTCATTTGATTTCTGAAACAATATTTTTTGTTAACTTGAATTATTTTGGAGGCGCCTTTATTTAACGCTCATATTATCCCAATATACACGATAACATTTCAAGCGCATATGTTTTGGAACTTCTAAAAAGTCATATATTTTCTTTAAGATTTTCACTAATGTCGCCATGAAACAAAATTGATTGCATGGTGATCTTGACACCAACACTCAAACCTATTTTTACCGCTAAAGATTTTCATTTGGAAAAAAAAGTTTCAGCAGAACAGAACAACAACAAGCTAATTTATGGCGGTTGCTTTGATGCAATAAAAATTAAATTGGATTTATAACTGATTTTCACCAAAGCGTAATGAAGCTGCTTGGATACAATATTGCTCTTAAAGAGCCTATGAGAACCTTTTGTAGAGTATGAGGCTTTATGACAAAAGGTTTTAAGACAGCATTATTATGATTCTCAAACATGCTTTATAAACCTTATCAAGAGTGGTCCACTAAGCTGGAAGACGATCTTATAGCGGTTATCAAAAGGTTGTGCTGGAGCTATTAATTTTATTGACGGTTTTATAAAATTGATCTCAATAACCAATAGAGTGCAATAAAACAAGAAATGCTACTTGGGAATGGTTGTGAAAGAGTTGAGTAAACACTTGCCAACACTATTTTGCTAGCTTCTGCTTGTAGCTGTATCTGCAGCTACAACTACTTTACAGCACAACGCTGGATTCAAAATTGTTATTAGTTAATCCTTCAAATCTCTTTTGAGTTCTGCTCAAACCCTTTAGTATGATCCCAAAAAATCCGCTAAATGCTCATTAGATTTTTTAACGCTTCTGCCTGCATTGAAATTGTCGTTGCAATTGCATTGGGATTCTATTCGACCGACCCACCCCTCCTTTTAAATTTCCTTCAAGTTCTCTTCATAAAACATAATGGGCTAATAACTAGCCGTGGAATTTACCATGTATTCGAAAAAAAGGAAGTGCATATCATTTACCCCCCACCACCTTTATTTTGTACTGAAACACAATTATGTATCTCGTAATAAAACGTTCAGTGCACTCGTTAGCAATCACTCAATCCAATCCACGTGACCTGACGGAAACAAACCATATTATGTACGTTGTTGGTTGTTTCCATAAGATTATTTCATGTAGTATCCGGTGCCAGAGTGGAAAAATAACTGAATCGAAATTAGGTCTGGGCAAACAACCGAGAAAAGGATACAAACAAAGACTGTGGCAACAGGGACTTGTTAGGTTTCATTTTACCTTCAAGTTTGCTTTGTAGTTCAATGGAAATCACTTGTCCAATTAAAGTTTCCATATTCCTTCTTTCCCTTACAGCACATCTATTATTCTAATGTAGCCAATGGTGATTGTTTTAGATTGTTATTGTTACCGTTGGCTTCAAAAATTTAAATCTCTCAACCTATCGTGTTATGACTAAATATCAGTGATGCATCGCAATTCATGGAAACCCCAACCCATTGAATCGACGTAGCTTCATCGTCTGAATTTCTTCACCATACATGTCCGCTTCCTTGAAGGAGTTCGCTTAATAGGGTAAGAGTGTCATTTATTTATTTATGACTAAACATAAAGTAATAAAACTACACATCAATAAGTTCATAGATAGCCATCTCGTAAAAAAAGGAATATTACTAGACAAACTAAACTGATTTAGAAAAAAACGAACTTAACCTCCGGCGAAGCAGCTGGCGAGTCAGGTCAAAGTTAAATAGGGCGGAGACTCTAATGAAAAGTCTACCATCGATTGCGCCGATCATGCTATAATTAGTTCACTGTATGGGCAGGTGCAGCATTGAATTATTCCGTGAGGCTCGGGGTTGAACATTGATGTCAACTCGCTCAAGGAGAACAACTTGCAAAATATCCGCAATTAGCAATGCCCTTGCTGTATCTCTTCGAACCGACAGGGGCTCCAGATGGATCAGTTGTAAACGACTTTCGTGGCAAGGCAATCGGAAGGGATCCGTACACGGCAGTTCACGTAGCGCATATCTCAGGAATCGTCGCTGAACAGACTCAACTCTTTCGACACCGTTGTTGTAGTGAGGAGTCCAGACAACCGAGCAGTATTCTAATATGGAGCGAGACAAGGAGCAGTACAACCAACCGGTGGAAACTAACGATTTTAACCCTAGAATTCTGGAAGCTTTGTCGACGGCATACGAGATGTGCTGATTGAAAGAGAGTTGTGTATCCAGAATCACAACTAGGTCCTTAAATTGGCCGACACGCTCAATTTCAGTCCCTAACAAAGCATACTTTTTTATCATTGATTTGTTTTCCGTGCTGAGCACCAATGCTACCGACGCCAGGGAGGCAGCTCCCACACATGGACCCTACCATAGACCCATCAACTCATGAACCGGGGACCAACGGCTTTACTTCCCTTCCGAAAGAAGGCGTGATCATAGATGTTATGCCTAAGAACATCCCGGCGGCGCCGACTGGGTTTACACCACCGGCGCCGGTACCAGTTCAAAGTGTTGGTGTAGGTTAGTTGGTAGTGTCAAGGTTTGCCAAATGCGGTAAGCTCGAGTTCGATTTCAGGTTCCGGGGAAGTATAAATAATGTGGTGGTGTGCTTATAACTAATTTCGATTAATTTGATTCACAGTAAAATAAACTTGAAAAAATTCCTCCAACAATATTAATAGCGTAAATAATATTTAGCCCGGCTTCAAGAGTGAAAGCTGTGTAGTGATTATTGGATGACCGGTAAAAGGTTGAATAAGCGCCATTCAAGTTCACACACAACTAAACAGCAGAATAACAACCGTCCCAACAGCCATAACTAACTGACTAAGTTCGCCAGAATTGCTTGTACAAAGTAGTTTTTTAATTTGAT